CCCCCCCCAGTGCAGCCTCCTCCACTGGCTTCTCCCCAGCCTCTTGCCCAGTAAGGCCCGGGCTCGGTGTGTGGGTTTCTCTCCTCTGTAAATCCCTTCCGTGGGCTGACAGCTTCCACGCTTCCACCCACCTCCCTGCTCAGATGCCTTACGGAACTCTCGGGTGTGGTGTGTACAACACTGAATTCTGGATTGTCCCCGAACCTGCCTGCTCACAGCCTCCCTTCTCTCCCTGGGGCTGGCCTCTTTGTCCTGCCAGGGGTGCAGGCACAAACCTTAGAGTCGTCTTTCTCTCTCTCTTCCTTTTCCCCACATTCAATTCATCAGGAAATCTCCGTCATCCCTTCCTACATCCGACAGACACCCAGAATCTGGCCACTTCTCTCTTCGCTGCCCTAAACCCGAGGGCAGAGACAGTGGCTGCACGTCCCGCAGACTGTTGGTAATGTTTGGCTTTGACTGGTCCCACCTGCGTGCCGGGCATCATCTCCTCCTGAATTGTGGCAGCAGCTCCTGGCTGGCCTCCCTGCCTCCACGCTCACCCTTACATAGCCTGCTTTCTCCATAGCAGCCTGGGGCTTCTCTTAAAGTGTTAAGCCACATCATGGCCTCCCTCTGCTCAGACCCCTCTGTGCTCCCATCTCATTTGATGAAAGCTAAGTCTTCACCTTGGCCCTCATGGCCTCGCCTGGCCTCAGCTGCCTACTCGCCTCACCTCCCAACACTTTCCTCCCTCCTTCCCCTCTCTCAGCCATTTTCTGAGCAAGGCAAGTGTACTCCTGCCTCAGGGCCTTCGCACGTGCTCTTCTCTGCTTGGACTCTCTTTTCCAGATTCCTGCATGAGAGTGAGTGGCTGAAGCTGTCGGGCCTGCTGTGCCAGGCTGAGGGGACACTCACGTGTTGAACCCGGCTACCATGTCCAGGGGGATCGTGACCGTCAGCTCCTGGTTGTTATCTGAGGGCTGAATCTGAAGCTGGAGGATGCTAGCGGAGGTGACCTTCAGCCTGGATGGGATTCAGAGAGGTGAGAATCCTGCCTCGCGCTCAGGCATCGCATCCAAAGCGGCTCTGATTCTATCTTTTCTGCCTCTCCTGGGGGCCTGGTCAGCAGCTGGACACCAGGCCCTGTCCACTGATGCTCTGTAGCACGGCCTTCCTTCAATCCCTCCCCTCCACATGTGCTCATGGCACTGTGATGGTTCCTTCCCTTTTAAGAGATGAATCCCAGCTCCTTGGATTGACTTCTAAGACCTTCTGTGACCTGACCCTACCGACTTCTCCTTGAGGTTTGAATTCCAGACACTCTGACCAGCTGCACCCATCCGGGCCTTTGCCTGGGCCTGTTTCCTAGTGAGTGCTGAGTCGTTGGCTCAATTGTCACCTCCATGGAGAAGCACCACCTCATCCCTTCATCCCCCACCCCAGGTGCTCCACTCTGGGGTTCTCCTATTCAGGCTCCTATGTCACTGCCTTATGGTTGCTGTTAACTACTCTGGGGGGTTGTTGAGAGAGGAACTTGGTTTGATCTACTTCGTGGTCAAGCACAGAGGTGACACCGATCGATGTTTGTTGACTGACTGACTGAGCATGCCGAGTGTACCTCGGGGAGAGGTGTGGGAAGGAGCTCGCTCCCGTCACTGTCCCACTTCACTCACCAGATGATATTCTTCAGGATGTTGTTCATCATGTTGCCCAGCAGGGGGATGCCCCCTGCCGGCCTTTCCCGGATGGTGCTGAGCAGCGGCAGATGCTGGAGGATGGCCGTGGCATTGTGGTCCTTCAGCTCCTGTGTCAGCTCTGAAGGCAGAGCCGGGGTTAGGGTCCAGGAGAGGGGCAGGGAGGATGGCATGGCGGGGGCTGCAGGCTGGGGAGGGGTCATTCTCAGGACCCTGGCATAAGGTGAGAATGTGACCTTATTCCCTGTGTCGCTGTGGCCTTGAGGGCACTGATCCAGGTGGGTCATTTTCATGTAAAAGGTGAGCTGGAGCAAGGGGGGCCTCCTACCCCAGGAATTACCAGCTGGAGTGTGGCCCGTACCCAGCACGTGGGCCTACACCTCTCCTGTCAGCCAGCAGCAAACGGCTGTTTTGGGGCTGTTTTGCTGCCAGAGTACGCTTGCTAACGGTTCTCTGGCATCCACACCCTACAGGTCTATTGTCCAAAGGGCCTCAGATACTAAGCTGAGGAAGGAAGAATCAGGGTCGGGGGCCTGTGAGTCAGAAGCCCTGGGCTCTGGTCCTTGCCAGACTGCTGCTGGCCAGACCCATCTGGCTCATGTGCAGTGTGGTCAGAAGTGTGGAGGGCTGGGACCAGCAGTTAGTGTAATGGCTGTGTCGCCGGACTCCCATGTAGTCGACCGTGGTTTGCGTCCCGGACCCGGTGGCTTAAAACTCACGCCGGGCGCGTGTGTGTGCGTGCCCAAGATCCCGAGAGGAGAATGGAGGAGAAGGGATTGCGGCGTGACCATCCCCCCTTGGGGGATGATTTCTCACTTTCTGTCTCTCTGTCTCTCTCTGTCTTTCTGGCGAGTGCACATGCCCTGTAGCAAAAACCTCTCCAAAAAAAAAAAAAAAAAAGAAAGAAAGAAAAGAAAGAAGTGTGGAGGGCTGATGGAGGGCTGATGCCCCAGGAGTTGGTGCATAGTCCCCCCAACACCCCTAGCCCCTGGGTGGGATGATGCAGCTGTGCATCTCTCCCGGTGTCTTGGAGTTCCTCTCATTGCCCCTCAATCACGTGTCCACCCATTTTGCCTGCTGAGTGGTAATGGAGCTGGGCCCTGCAAATATTTCTTCTTTGTCAGCCGGCACAATGGGAAGCCCTGTTAGTAAAGGCTCTGGAGGGACATGGAGGAGGAAGGGGCTTTCATGCATGGCCTTGGGAGCTCTTCTTGCCAGTTCACTGCCTGGTGGCTTTGTGTCATGCATCAGCAACGTTCAGGCAGCAAGTGAGTTCAGCAGATAACTGGCTAGCTCCCCTTGGTTTCCTAGCAACCCCGTACTAGTGAGTTAACAGCTACCCCTTTCTCTAGGGGCAGCCTCCCTGAGAATTTCATGGCTCCCTGCAGGCAGTTCCCTGCCCACTAGCCTGTTCGCCAACCCTGCACCTGTCTAGCCTAGGACAGTCCACTGGACTTCTCCATCTAGTGGGCTTCAAAGATGCCCTCCCCAAAGTGGTCTGGGAAGGATTCTCAGCCTCTGATTCTGTGCTGTGCTTGGGTACAGAATGAACCCGAGTGACCCCTTCAGAGTCCCCTCCCTCGCTCTTCCCCCTCCCCCACCTGCCAATTTCCTCTTCCTCCAATCCCCTGGTAATAATTCTTTATATTCAACTCACCTGCTAGGATTACTGTGTGGTTTCCGCCTCCTGACCGGCCCTAACTAATACAGCTGCCTGGCAGGACTGAGCTCCAGTCCCCACTGTAGAGAGCAGTTGGAAAGTGCCCCCTACTGGGCGCCTCCCCTCCCCTGACTCGCTTCCCCAGGTTTTCCTGGGATCACCCCTAGATAGCCATTGGGAGCAACTCCTCAACACAGGTTCTGCTATGGAGGACCTCTCCACAGTGGCTCATCCTCAAGCTCCCTCTGGCTTAAATTCCACGGGCTCGAGTCACAGTGTGAGCCCAGGGCCCTCTGCCCCCCACTTCCAGCTTCCCAGAGCCCTCAGCAGGCCACAGGACCTCAGAGGAGTGGGATTTTGTAGTCACGGAATTTAAGACGGTGATGTTGACTCGAGACTGTAGACACCCCAAGCCTTTGCAACTCATCCACACATGTCTCACTCACCCTAGCTTCATCTTACACACCCTCAGTGATGGGGAACTCCTTCCCCCCTTGGGGGGCCCTCTTGCCTTCTGCTGGTGAGGCCCAGAGAGCTAAGACTTACGGTTTTTGATAACTTCTGGGCCAATGTTGAGAACCGCAGGGGGACTGAGGGTGGCCTGGATCAAGGTGACTGCCAGCAGGCTACAGAGCAGGGTGGAGGTCCACAGGCCAGCCATGTTCCTGGGTGTGGGTGGGCAGCAGGTGGCAGGTGTCGAAACCTGGTGAGCACAGAGGGCCTGTAGCTGGACAGACAGACGAAGGGCAGGCCCCGACACCCCCAGCAGGACCTGGGGCTATGTCGCAGAGAGGCAGTTCAGTGCAGAGGTAACTGCCAGGGGCTACTGTGTGGCTTTAAACATTCAACTTAACCTCTCTGTGCCTGTTTTCTCATCTGAAAAACGGGCACGGTAACTCCTGCATCACAGAGTTGATGGTTTAAATGAGATGATATTTAAAAAGCATTCAGCACAGTGTCTTTTGCCTGGAAAATATTAGCTATTTTCTTACAGAAACTCACTGACAAGGCTCAGGACAAAGCCCTCTGCTCCCTGTTTCCCACTCAATAGTGTGGCGCTTACAGTCCTCAGTGAGCAGCTCCCACCAGCCTCGCCCCTGCTGTGCTCTCCTCCTCTGTGAAGGCCCACGTGGGTGAAGCTCCCAGGGCCCACTCCATCTCTCCTGCATATGTGCCCTTACCACTCCTCTTCCTGCCTCCTGCACTGTTCTCCTTCATCTGCCTGCCGAGCTCCCCTTCACCCTTTGAAACCCTGCCAGACTTTCACTTTCTCTCTAAAGGTTTCCCTCTCCTGTGGCCAGGGTCCCTGGACCACCTTGGGGAAATGTTGCCCTGGGGCCCAGGCTAAGACATTGGAAGCAGGTGGGAAATGAGAAGTCCGGCAGGACTCAAAGTCAGAAAAGGTAGAAGAGATGTTTGCTTCATCTGCAATACTGCAGAGTGAATGGCTGCCCCGGCCCCAGGGAGTGGAGGGAGGGAGAGCGAGCAGGAGCAAGAGAGGGGGGGGGGCACCGGGAGGGGGCCAGGGCGTTTGGTCCCTTAGCTGCTCCGTCTAGCATCAGCGTGTAGCCCAGTCCCGAGTGCCAGCTCACCCTGCTCTGCCTTCGGCCCCTGTGGGCTGTCCTGCTTGGAGGGAAGAGAGATACTGACCGGGAGGCACAGCTCTTGCTTGGCTAAGCACGTGGGTTTCTTGTTACTGAAGACAGACACGGCCTCTGCATGACACGTGCCTCCCGCGGCCTGCAGCACCAGCTCTTCTGAGACACTTGCAGTGGCCGTTCAACCTCTGCCTCCCTGATCGGACTGTGTGCTCTGGAAGGGAGGGCTGGTCTTCCTGCTCCCTGAGTTCCCAGCACCCAGCATAGTGCCTGGCACACAGCAGGTACTTCATAAATGGCTGCAGAGTAAACAGATGGCCCCTGGGAGCCCTGGAATAACTGGGACCCTGAGCTTGCTAAGCTGAGGAGGTC